AAAAAAAAAAAAAAATCACTTCGGCTGAGTGATAACCTGACGGCAGGAGACACAGGAAACAGCTCAGAAGGCCCTCCCGAGACACCAGCGCCGCTGGTTTTCTCTCCACTGGACGTTTCTGGGTGCTCTGAAGAAAAGGCCGTCCGGATGAGCTACTAAAGGGACAGGAGGGCTCCACACGGGCCTCAGCCTCCGCGTGCAAGTTTTCGGCCACTTTTGGCTCCGACTGGCACCAACACCCACGGGGGCGAATGCAGGCTTGTGCCGGCACAGAAAGGAGTGTCTGTGGCCTGCGGCTGTGATTCCCATGGTAGCAAACCGCATGCCAGCCTTTACGGCCTCTTTAAAAAAAGCTGTTTTTTTTTTTCTTTTTCTTTTTATTGCTGGAAGAGCTGACGGGTATTGCCCGGACTTGGGAAGGGATGAGGTGAGGGCAAAGATATGCAAAGGAAGATGACTGATGATTCCTAGCTGGGCCCTCTTCCCAGCAGTGGAAGGAAAAAAAAAAAAAAAAAAAAAGCACCACGAGCACGTGAGAATTCTCAAGCAGATTTCTATTTTTCATGTAAAAATTTTTTTATTTTAGAGAGAGTGTGTGTAAGTGGGGGAGAGGGGCAGAGGGAGGCAGGCAGAAAGAGAGGGAGGGAATCTTAAGCAGGCTCCACGCTCAATGCAGAGCCTGACGCGGGGCTCGATCCCACGACCCTGGGATCACGACCCGAGCTGAAGTCAAGAGTCGCATGCTTAACCGACTGAGCCACCCAGGTGCCCTGTCTTTCCTTTTTTCTTTTTTTTTATTAGCTGTATCTTGTGTTTTGTTTTTTAATTTTCAATCAAAATATAGCTGACATACACAATCTTACTAGTTTTCGGTGTCAAATACATGTCTTACCTTGCCAGATGGCATCTGCTTATTTGGATCAAACTGAGAGGAAGGTTTCGATTTGCTGTTTCCTGGAAGGTAAGAGAAGAGAGACGCCAGTGATCACGTACAGGAGTTAGTACACCCAATGGGCGGACTCCTGGGTGGGTGCCCGGTGTTCAGGAAGGGTGGGGCTGTCAGCCTGCTGACCCCTTTACGAGGTGGGCCGATGGCTGACACATTTCCACGTGTCACGCTCCCAGTACAGAAGGACAGCCCGAACACTCGCTTCTCACAGATCTATTCTCGGCTCAGGGCAGGTGGCTACAGCACTGGCTCTTTTTCCACCGAGGAGACCCGTTCTAGTCTGCGTGCTGGTCAGATGCCACTGTCGGGAACTTGGGCTCTGAGGTGACAATCCTGCGCTACCTTCTCTCTCTTCAAAGGGACGTGGTGCCAAGGAGGCTGCTCTAGAGTCAGGAACGCCGCCTGCAGCCCCTCCAACGTACACGGACTCTGACGGGCCAAGGAACCGCAGAGCACCTCACGGGCGTCAGGTTTCTTCAGTAAACTCCTTACCATGTTTGTGTGTCTGAGAAAATGTGTTTCTGGGCACAAGCTACAGTGAGGAAAGACCACGCGTGCCATCTCGCTCAGCTGCCAGAGAGGCCCCGGCAAGTAAGGCCCAGCACGGGAGGGCGGCGCTTTCTGTCCGGGCGCTGCAGGCTCCTAGGGCGCCGCTGCCTTGTCCCTCTCGGGCTTAGCCGGTGCCTAGGGCACACTTTCTTCGTGCTACAGTTCCTCCCCCCTAAGGCGGCCAGACATTCCTTAAAGGGCACCAGTCCCGGCCTCACCAGCAAAAGCCTTGAAATCCGACTTGCTGTAGTCGTAAGGGGTAAAATCTTTTTCTGGCAGATCTGGGTCTTTTGGCTTCTTAGAAGTTTTGAGTCGTTTCTTCTCTTGTTTCTGCTCTGTGGTCCTCGGGCCACTTGTCGTTCGCTCTCTCTTCTTGGCGGCGCTTTCTAGCTGTAGAGGGAAGGAAGGCGGGGGTGGGTGAGAAGACGGACGGTCCCACTAGGGACTCCGCCGCTGTGCTGGCAACTGGAAGGGGAGTGCGGGCCGTGAGTCTGGGCAGGGCTAGGGCCACGTGGAACAAATCCCTCGCTGGAGAATGACGGCGGGTCACTGAGGAAAGATGGGCTATGCGCTCTGGAGGGCTCTGGCGGGGTGGAGAACGAAATACATACTAGGGCAGAGCAGGACGGTAAACAGGCTTGGCTGTTAGAAGCTTCAGCACCTTATCTACTACTAGAGTCAGGGGTACGGTCTGTTGAGCGTAAATTCAACAGAGGAAATCATCTAAGAGGAATTACGGTATAAGCTTTTTCGAGGGGAAATAAGGCAGGCGCTGACTTGACAAGCCAAAATGGACGGGGAAGACATAGCATTTAATTTGAACCACAGGACAAGCCCTCCTGCCATTCAAGGAAAATCCTGGCCACAACCAGGGGCATCGGGTTTCCTAAAAGAAAGAGAAGGGCCGGCACGTACGGCAGCCTGCTGTCGGACGGACACGGCCTGTTCCGCTGTTGCTTTGTACTCTTCCCTGGCCTGGTCCCGGGCGGCTGCAAGAGAGAGCACTGTCTGTGGAGCTGCTGCCTCCGGCAGCCAAGCCTCCTTCCTCATCCGGCTGCCCCGGCTGCCGGGGCCGCCACAGCCAGGGCGCCCTCCCTGCTCCCCAGCCTCCCGCACCGGCCCCTCTCCCCCAGGCTCGGAAGAACGGCTGCCTTGAGGCTCAGGCCCGGCTGCTCTGCCCACACTCTCAATCTGACGGCCCACCTGCCCCTCTCCTGAGAGCCCAAGCCAGACGTCCACCACCTACGTGACTCCTCCCTGAGGACGTTTCGGATGGACCTCAACCACGGCACATCGAGGACCAGAACGAAACCCAAATCGGCATCCTGTGCGCTCTTACTCTGTTGCTGGCCACCCTCGTCTTTCTAATCACTCAGGCCCAAACCTTCTGGCGTCCACGGCTCCCTTCCTCCTCTCACGTGCCTCACCCGACTCGTCACGAAGTGCTGTCAGTGTCCCCACCGGAAACGTCGGCTTCCAGCCGCTCGTCCCCTCACCTGGGTTACCACCCTGTCTCCTACCTGGGCTCCCACTCCTGCCCTCTCCACTGGGCCCTCCGTGGCCCCTGAAGATCAGTGCAGGTCACTGCTCCGCTCAGACCCTCCAGAGCTTCCCAGTCCGCTGGGAGTATAAGCCGTGTCCTCACGCCAGCCCTTCCTGCTCTCCTCCCCTCAGCCGCGCTGGCTTCCCGGCCTCTCTCTGTGCGCGCCCGACAAGCGACCGCCTCGGGGCCTTGGACTTGTGGGGCTGCCCCTGGAAGCAGCCCGTCTTTGCTCAGTGTCACATTGATTAGACTGCCTTCACCAAACGCCACACGGAAGCAGCCACCACTCCCCCGTGCCCGCCCCCAAGCACCTCCTACCCCTCTCCCCGCGGAAGTTTCTCTGGCCATCTGAAAGGACAAACGTTCACGGTAGGCTGTCCACTGTCCCCCAGGAAAAGGCAAGCCCCGCAGGCAGGGGCCGTGCCGTTCTGTTTGCTGCCATACGGGCACTTTGTTGAACAAACAGAATGATGTCCAAGGCCTGTTCTTTGACAGACACACTGACGGGCTGACTTACAAGGAAGTGAGCGCTACCTGTTTGCTCCGCTGCCTTCTCCTTGGCAATTTCTTTAGATTCTTTGCGTACCTGCACCTGGCTCGCCAGCTTCCAATGGTTGCTGATCTACAATGAAAACAAACAAGACAAAAACGCTCCGAAACTCAGCCACCTAGGAACGCTGTATTTTTTTAATGGGGTGATACCGGACATGCTAACCTAACAACTACACACGTTCTAAGTCAGAAGTTCCAAATCTGATGACACACACACAAAAAAATCCATTTTATTTATAAAATCTTTATCAAGAAGGACAAAGGGCAACTGTATTGCAGGCACTGAGCCGGATGCTTTCCCGTCCGTTGTCTCATTCAATCCCTTCTAATAATCCCCGGGACAAAGGCATTATCATCACCCCCACTTTGAGATGGGAAATAGGTTCAGAGAAGCTAAATAACTCGTCTGAGGGCACACGGTTAGCAAATGGTGGAGCTGGGATTCAAGGCAGGACTTCTCAGGGCCGTTTGCTTCTGTATGAACATTTGCCTGCGGGTCGCATCTCGCGGACATTAGACAGAAGCACGGTAAGGGACATACAGTTGCCGAATGGGCCACAACTGGTGGGGGAAGAGGGGGAGAAGGCATAAGATCCACCTGACTCCCCATTTCTAAAGGCAGGAGGCTAACCACCAGCGACAGGGCAGGGGCCCGTCAGGTTTCTGGCCTGACCCTTGGTGCCTAACGAAAGAGCGGGAGGCAGACGGAGCCAGGCCGTCCATCTGACTGGAGCAGGAACTTCCTGCAGGAAGGAAGAAGGCTTTTAACAGACAATTAACAACGCTGGCTCCCAGGAACATCTCTTGGGGCTCCAGGGAAGGTATTTCCTTATTCCTCATTATGCTATTAAAAACAAACCAAACAACAGAAGACAGAGTGTTTTAAAATTTAAGCTGTCATCTATAAGAGCCTTAAAGTAATATTCATATATAAAATGCATCAAGCTGATCCACAAAGAACTTATCAAACTCAACACCCAAAAACCAAATAATCCAGTGAAGAAATGGGCAAAAGATATTAATAGACACTTCTCCAAAGAAGACATCCAGATGGCCAACCGACACATGAAAAAATGCTCAACTTCACTCATCATCAGGGAAACACATATCAAAGCCACAGTGAGATACCACCTCACCCCTGTCAAGATGGCTAATGTTAACAACTCAGGCAACAACAGATGTTGGCGAGGATGCAGAGAGAGAGGATCTCTTTTGCCTTGTTGGTGGGAATGCAAACTGGTGCAGCCACTCTGGGAAACAGTATGGAGGTTCCTCAAAAAATTAAAAATCAAACTACCCCTCTGACTAATTGCACTACTAGGTATTTATCGAGGGATACAGGTGTGCTCTTTCGAAGGGACACATACTTATGTTTTATATGGTGCTGTAGGCAATAGCCAAGGATGGAAAGAGCCCAAATGTCCATGACGGATGAATGGATAAAGAAGATGTGGTATATATATACAATGGAGTATTACTCGGCAATCAGAAAGAATGACATCTTGCCATTTGCGGCTATGTGGATGGGAACTGGAGAATTGTCACTAAGCGAGTAGTCAGAGAAAGACAAATGTCAAAACTTCCCCTCATATGAGGACTTTAAGAGACAAAACAGATGAACATAAGGAAGGAAGCAAAAGTAATATAAAAACAGGGAAGGGGACAAAACAGAAGAGACTCTTAAATATGGAGAACAAACAGAGGGTTACTGGAGGGGGTGTGGGGGGGGGATGGGCTAAATGGGTCAGGGGCATTGAGGAATCTACCCTGAAATCGTTGTACTATATGCTGACTAACTTGGATGTAAATTAAAAAAAAAAAAAAAAAAAAAAAAAAAGGAAAAAAGGCATCAAGCTGTACACCTAACATCTGTGCACTTTGTGACATATAAATTAAACTTCAATTAAAACCAAAAGCCTCAGGGCACCTGGGTGGCTCAGTCGGTTAAGCGTCCGACTTCGGCTCAGGTCATGATCTCACCGTCCGTGAGTTCGAGCCCTGCGTTGGGCTCTGTGCTGATGGCTCAGAGCCTGGAGCCTGCTTCAGACTCTGTGTCTCCCTCTCTCTCTGCCCCTCCCCTGCTCATGCTCTGTCTCTCTGTCTCAAATTAAAAAACAAAAACAAAAACAATAACAAAAATTAAAAAAAACCCCGAAAGCGTCTTTCTTAAAAGGTTCCCAAATGCTTCTGAAAGTCAGAATAAAGTTCTCGCCCCTCTCTCTAGAAACTATGCTTATATGTATTTATATGTAAAGCGTTTTCTGTATTCAGGAGGTTCAAGATGGGCTTAAGACAAGGGCTAGTTCAGATAATTAAGAAGTCTCCTTTTCCTAGAAAGTCACTCTTGGAAAGGATGGTGAGTCCACTTACTTCATAGATTTTTGATGACGGATCAAACTTCGCTGCCTGAGAAACGTGAGCGCGGCGTTCGAAAGAAGGCAGAAACTGGAGGGACGGAAACAGTCGTGTTAAAGGCGGTCAGGAACTGGACGGGGGGTTTCGGTTGGTGTCAGCATGGGAGGCCTCGTTCAGAGCATCAGCCGAGCCATAGCTCACTGGCATTTGAGCGAGGTATCCTTGCCGGTTTCATCTGAGAAGATCCCGACTCCATCCCAACCTGGACACCAGGGACAACGGACACACTGGATTCAGGGGCTCCCTCTTTCCTGGGCTGTCGGCCTCTTTTCCAGGCAAAAGGCCCCTACAGCGGCAGAAACCTCTGCCTGTTCCGTCAGCCCTCAACTAGATGCACAACGCTTACTTACCATCCTAAATGGATTTTCAAAGGACTCCATTATGTTCTGGGCTTTCTTCTGTGCAACTGTTAGTGGGCCCTTTCCACTCTCTTCAGCACTAGGTTCCTGCAGGGACAAACAGAAAACGATCAACTCGTCACCGTCATCATTTTGTGGCAATACGATACAAGCAACGGCATAATCGTAACAGTAATAAGAATACTGGCTAATTTTTTAGGGCTCTCGTCTGCAGAAAGCACTGTAATAGCCTGTAATAGCACACAGTGGGGTGTACTTAACATCTATTTATTAAACCAATGAACTCTCACTGTGTCCTTACAGACTATTAAAGTATGTGGTATTATTCTCCCCATCTTACAGATGAGGAAACTGAGGCACAGAGAGGCTAGGTCTTCCAGACCCTGACGGCTAACAGCGGCACAATGAGGACTTTAAACTTAGGTCCATCTGGCTCTAGAACTCGAGGTTGTAACCGGACACTCACAAATGAAAAAAATTACACACTTTTGCGGGGAATCAGGACAATTCTGCACCAGGGTGTTGCTTCCAACTGGGTTCAGCATGCATGCTATCCTTCCGCGTGCTCTGTGGTAGCAGTCTTGCCACCCAGGGCACAGAGACACAACGGTCTGTTAAGTACAGCGCTTCCGTGTTCACACGGCCCCAAGTTCACGCTCGGATTTGTAGCTGCTGAGTCACCTTGATGACTCAGTTAAAGCGCCCAGATTTCTCTGGTCACGAGTTACTGAAGCCAGACCCAATCTAAGTTTATGTGATTAAGTGAGAAAGTTAACTCTCAGGCACCACGTCTCGCAGGCGGCATTTTGTCTCCCTGGCTGCGGCCTCGCGCTCCGGGGTGATTCTGGAATCTACGGAACCACCCAGCTGTTTCTCACGTGAACACCTGCTAAGCTCGATCCTCGTCTTTGTCCAAACGGATCAGACGCTTGCCTCTCTTTCTTTCTGGAAATTCTGAATTTTTCCTCTACCACCTCTGTTGTTGGCAGTATTCAGTCTTACCTGTGTATTTTCCCTTCATCCTGGTCATTTTGGTATCTACCTATCTTGACCAACAACCACACCGTTCATCCTCCCTTTGCAAACAGCCTGAAATTCCAGTACTGGCAGAAACACCCACTAGGGAGGACAGACCGGGACAGGCCCCGTCACAACCCAGTGCGTATTCCGGGAACACGGCCTGACCCAGGTTGGCCACACTCGGTCCCATACTGGACGGGGTCACGACCTACCACGACTCAGCCCCTCTTTGGGAGGGGAAACACCTATCTCCCCGTTTCCCAGTGCCCTCATATCCTGCCCTTCGCTTTCCTTAATCGGCCAGCGTAGAGAAACGGGTTTCAAAGCCGCCTCTTTTGCACCCAGAGCACACGCGGATGGCACCGGGGCGTGCTGGGGCGCAATGAGCAGCGCATTACGCTCCCGAGAGTGCTCAGCCGGCCCCTTCCGGGACTCAGGCCGAGCCGCCTCCACTGTGGCTGTTGGGAAGGTCGAGCCGCCTCCACTGTGGCTGTCGGGAAGGTCCTGCTTACCGATCGCCGTGGCCCACGCCCTCCTCCCCGCCAGGCGTTAGCGCTCTCGTCAAGGTGTTAACCCTTCCTCGAGGATCTCTTCACACAGAGCTCAGGAGACAATCCTCCGCCCATCTCTCACAGACTGCTTAGCAGATCTGTCTCCACGCCTGTCCCCTCCGGCCTGGGTTTTACTTTTGGCATTAGCGTCCACAGTGGATGCGACGCTCCAGGCACACAGCCTGTCTGATAAAGCCAACAAATCCCTGCCGGTCTACATCACCTCACCGGCGAGTCCCACTACTCACGTTAAATAACGTGATGACAGCGGTAGCGATCAGGCAGTTGGTCTCTGGAGGGGCGTCCTCTTCTCTTTGGTCAGGGAAGAGGCTTGCCTGTTTCTGCACGGGCACGGGCCCTACAGGGATGGAAGTCAGTAAGGTCAAAGCCTAGCGGACAGCGTGCAAGGCAGTTTCCAGGACATTCCAGAGGCCTCTACGTTACCGTCGCTTGCGACGACAGGGTAGCCATCTGAAGGGGCGTGGGAGCAGTCGTGGGGTCCAAAGAGAACATTCTCCAATCTCTGTGTCAGAAAGAAACCGACAGGCCTCATGAAAGCCTTGCAAGCGTGCAGCAGCTTTTCACTACCGTGCTGGGGCCTGCCTCGGACAGGGAGGTTTGTCCTGCACCGGCTCTGACTGGTGTTTCCCCCCCCCCCCCCCCCCCCCCCCCC